CTTTATGCAATCCAATACTACAAATATTTTTATTTTTAAAAAATTTTTGTTCGAATTTCAAATTTTTTTTATTCCTGATAAAAAAAATAATTGACGATGAATTTATATTCATTAAAAAAACAATTTTGTTACTATCAAAATTGATTTCACTATTGTTGTTTTTGTTTAAAATAAAAAAGAAATTAACTTCGGTAATCAGTTGAACAAATTTCAATTTTATCAATTAAATATTTTCATTTATTTTTTAAGGAACCAAACATGCGAACAATAAATTTCGTACAATGGAAAAATTTTTCTGATTTCAAGTTAAAATTGTCTATCTTCTTCAACATGGCACCCTTCTAGAACAAATGAAGTGGAAAACAACATGACTTTATTTTCCCTACAACAAATTTGTGAAGCCCATCAAGCCAAGATGTAGGATTCGATCAAAAAAGAAGAAATACAGTTATCGGTGGGAGAGGCGAGAAGGGAGAGAGTCACTCGAATCAAGGAGAGAGAAATCAGCAGTGAGGGAAGAATTGCAAGTACCTTTTTGTGCAGGCAGAACCCTCAAATCACTTTTAAAAAATAGGTTAAATCTTCAATTTGTTTATGAATTAAAAAAATTTCTAATTTGATCCTTGAATTATTGTACGGATACTCGATTTGGTTCCTACTGTTTACTAATTTACTCTAAGTTGGTCATTCTATACAAAAATAGTTGATGTGACTTGTTATTAACGTGACATATGACTGTTAAGTTACTGTTTTCTATCGTTAAATTACTATTTTTCGTTGTTAAATACTAGACATGTTAGCTTTTTTTTGTATGGAATGACTAATTTAGGGCAAATTGGTAAATAGTAAGGATCAAATTGGGGGTTCGTACAATAGTTCAGAGACCAAATCAGGAATTTTTTTTAATTCAAGGACCAAATTGAGAGTCCGTACAATAGTTCAAGAACCAAATTGAGAATTTAACCTAAAAAATATGAGTAGGGACGGATCTACCCCCACAAAAATGAAGGGACATTTAGCCCCCCAACATTATCGACTAACCCAAATCACCAATTATTTAACTGCTGACGTCATCTCCGTCACAATCTCCATTTAGCCGGTGCCATCGTGTTGTTTTTTTACACATTGGAGGCTGATGTGTACCAATCCTACTCTTTTTTACACATTGTGTCACCCTTTCTTCCCTTTTCCTTGTCATGGATCCCATTTAGGCCTAAACAAGGAAGAAGGAAAGCCTACGTCTTCGCTCAAATTTGCAACAAAAAATCGAAGACTCATTTCTCAAAGAAATCTTTGAATTGAATTCACTTTTGAGTGTGGGATGAGAGTCAACTGAACTCTTTCTAGCGAATCTCAAGAAAATATTAAAGCTTATAAGAGCCTTTGCACATTCAGTGTTGCAATTGGTGGTGGGGTTCAAGGTGAAGGACATAGTAAAGGTAAGCCTTTGTAGTCGCTTTCTCTTGGAAAATGTTTGTTTATAAAGTTTTCTAGTTTTTCATTGATTGTAAGTGTTGGATGCATGTGCATTTTGTCGATTATATAATATATTTTATCATTGATGGACCACATTAATTTTAGTTTGCGTTACCATTGACCAAAATGGTAGATGATTATTGGGGAATTTTATCTATTTTCTATGGGGGGACATTCGTGGTTGGACCCACATTTGAGTACAAAGGGGGAATATGTATAGAACAAGCATTTGACTGTGATTGGTTGAATGTTGATGTCATTATGGATTTCATTGTATGTTTAGGATACCAGGACGTTATGATTAAAAATGTTTCCTACAAAAGAATGTTAGCAAGCATGCTTAGGCATTTAAAGTCTTTGGCAGGTGATGATAGTATTAGGGATATTATGAGGATTGTCAAAGAAGAGGTGGTATGTGAGTTTTAAGTGGACCATGAGGTTAATTTTGTTGAAATTGCTCCTCTAGCAATAAGTTAGATTGATAATAATGTAGTTTATAAGGATTGGGGACCACAAAATAGGGTAGGCTAGAATGGTAACGATGAAGTTAATGAGGGAGAAAAGGAAGGTGACATAAGGAATATAACCCAAGACATGGCAATTGGTGGTAATAAGGGTAAATTTGGAAATTCATATGAAAAAGGTGAATGGAGTAATAGAGGTGGCTATGAAGAAGACTGTTCTGTTGATGACTGGAGCTCAATAGATGAAGCAACAGATCTTGTTGATGGTAGTGACAGAGATGATGATGAAGCCATTGCTGTGAAGGCTACTACAAGGTCTTCAAGGAGACCAACAAAAGGATTAGAAGTTCTTCCAAGTTTTCCAACACCAAAAATAGGGGCTAGGTACAAAATTGTTGCAAAGAAGCCTACTCCTAGATCTACTTTCACAAAGAAAGCAACAGATCCAACCTCAACATGCACAAGTAAAGGGGTTCCAATAGATCCTGTTGAGAAGGCCAGAAGGAGAAAGGAAAAGGCCAAACTTGCAAATAAGAGGTATAAAACATTGCCACAAAGTAATGAGTCTTACAAGGGGAAAAACTTAACCCCTAAAAAAGGGAAGAAGGGAGATCTAGTACATCCATCCCAATCAGCTCCAGTGGATAATGATGATGAGGGCATATACAATGATAATGATGGGAGAGACAGTGAATATGCTCCAAGTGATGATGCTGGCAAGTTGAGGGACTCATCAATAGATTCTGAAGATGACATTTTTCCTACTCCTAAGGCAATAGATAGACCAAGGAGAGCTGTAAATGTCTACTTTAATCTTGCTTGGGAGGTCCTTATTTTTGAAGTGGGAATGAGGTTTCAAAGTTCCAAACAATTCAAGGAAGCAATCAAACATTATTCTATGAGGAAAGGATGTCCTCTTATACACATCAGGAATGAACCTAAGACGCAGAGGTTTGTTTGCAAGGTTGGTTTGTGCAGCTAGGAGATTTATGCTTCATTTGAGAAAAGGGACAATAGTTTCAAGGTAAAGACTTACTACATTGACTGCACTTGCTTCAGAAATCCTAACAACAAGATGATGACTTGTGAGATGGTGGCTGAGTACTTCAAGAGTAGAATTTATGCCACTCCTTTCATAAAATGTAAAAACATGATGACATTTGCTTATAATGAGCTTAGGATAAATGTTGACTTCAAGAAATGTGAAATGGCAAAAGAATGGTTGTAAAGGAGATGGAAGGAAATTACAAAGATGAGTATGCTATG